CAATAATATTTCTATAGTCAGAGATCTGGCAGCTTTTTCCTTTTAGTTATTATAGAAAGACTTAATACAGAATTGACTTTTAGAAAATAACATTTGCCAATATTATGATAACACTTTATTCTCAAAGCAAGTATTTCCAGCATTAACACTTTGCAACCCAAATCAGCCCTTCTAAAATCACTGTTAAATAGAGAGATCACTGGCCATCTGACCATCGCTGGCAAGCTCTTGACCACCAGAACTTGTGAGACCCTAGACAAATGATGTAAACTCACTTGGCCTGAGTTTAATTTTCTGTAAAATAAGGGGTTTGGATTGGGATAGTGATTCTTTCCCATAGGTGCATAACATACAAAATAACTTTTTACAAATGCTGATATATGACCCAACACTCAGAGATTCTGACTTCATTGACTTGGCTGAATCTCCCCAGGTGATGCTGATGGTAGGTAGAGCCTCTAGATTAAGTGATCTCTGAGAGCCTCTAGCTCTGATTCTGATTATGTGGTTCAGTTTCTCCTTCCCATAGCCAACCAGAAAGGTGGCATATTATTCCACCTCTCATTCATCTCCTCCACTCCTAATATAAATTTCTGGCCTGTGCAGGGTAGTGATTTTCAAGATTCAGTGAAGAGTAGTAAATGACTTGCTAAAAATGCAGATTTCTAGGACATGCCCCATAAAATTCTGATGCAGTTGACCTGGGATATTTTCCAGGAACCTTCACAAGCACCCAGGTAACTGAGGCCACTGGTTGAGAACTACATTTTTAAAGCCATTATCAAGGGTTTAATTTGCAACGTCAAGGAAGGGGGTTTACCTGAGGACTCTTTGGGACTCTAGTTGACCCTGGAATACAATTTTTGGCTAAATTATAAGTATGAGCAGTGACTCCAGAGCCTGAGACTTAGCTCTGAGCCTTCCCCTTCATCTGAGCATCAGTCATATAGCCAGGATCCTGGCTTTCATTAAAACCTGCTCTGAATAGGTAAGAGAAAGAGGATTCAAATAAATAAACAGAGAAGGAAAATTCCTTCTTTATAGTAAAATACCAGTTGTAGGACAATTGGTATTATACAAATAAATAGAAACATAAAAATTTACAATGTAAAAAGGGACATGAACAGGAATTCACAGAAGAACAAATCTAATGGTGAGTAAGCATTCATAGTACCAGTGAAATAAAATTAATAAAAGAGTGAGACACCAATTTTCCACAACCAAATTAACACACATTTCAAAAGGTTTGATAGTGTCAAGTGACTATTAGGGAACTTGGTACCCTCATGCATTCATGGGGAAATATAAACTAGATGAGCCAGTTTAGAGGGCAAGTTGATAGTATCTATTAAATATGTTCATATCCTATGACACGAAAAATCTAATTTCACTCTTCAATACTAACTTTAGAAATACTAGAGCATAAACAAAACTAAGCACATTCAAGGATAGCTTTAAAATAGAAAAAATACGAACTACCTTTACATTCCTAAAGGAGTAAATATCTAAACAAATTGTGGTATACTCTTAGTAGATAATGATGCAACAATGAGAAGAAATTATGTAGATCTATATGGACTAACTTGGGTAGCTCTCTAAGAGTTATTGCTGAGTAAAAAAAATCTAGTTAAAGAATGCTATTCATTGTGTAACTTGTCCGCATAGCACCACCACCAATTCCTTCCCTCTGTACACACATGCCATTCCCCAGTCAAGAGGCTGGGTCTCTTCCTGCACTCGCTGAGTCTGAGCTGGTCTTCATGACTTTCTTGCCCAACAGAATGTTGCAAACGTGATTCTGGGACTTCTGAGGGAAGGTTGTTAGAAGCTTGGCAGCTTCCCTCTGGGTCTCTTGGAAGTCGTCATTGCAATTCTTGCTCTGGGGAGGGAGCCTTCTGCTACGTAAGAAGTCCTATTATCCTGGGAATGGCATGTATAGTAAGAAGATGTCAGCCAGCTCTTGGCTATTCTACATGTGACATGTGAAGGAAGCCACCATCCTGGACATTACAGTCCAACAGGTGCCACGTACAAAAGAATCAAGGTCCCAGGCATATGGCCCCAGGCAAGCCATCACAGGCATCTCCAGCCCTGGAGCCACCTCAGATAAGACCCCAGACATGGTGAAGTCAGCATGAACCACCCCTGCTGTGCCCTGCCTGAATCCCTGACCCACAGAATTGTGAATATAATAAATGCTGGTGGTTTCCCACCATTAAAAATAATATTACCATCATGGTTGCCATAGCAATTTTTAACTCCTTCATTCCTTCTAAATGTTGATTTGGTACTTTACTCTAAAAAAAGGATTTTCCCTCTCCTTCATTTATTTATTATTTAGTTATTTACTTATACCAGAATATACTCATAGAACTTTATTTCATTTTATAGATTATAACCCATTATTATCATTATTTATTTTGATGCTTAAATTGTCTCAAATTTGACTAATGGGGCCCTTTCAAGCTAGTTCCTGTATCATCTTGACATATTCCTGTGATTTTTTTTTTAAAGATTTTATTGAGGAATTGGGAGAGGGAACAGCGTTGGAGAATCAGGGAAGGGGAACAGACAAGTTGCTTTCCTTTTGTTCTTCAGTCTAGTTGTGAAGGACGTCATTTCACTGGCCCATGTTGGTTTATCATTGTGCTCTTCCCGGGTGAGGCAGATCAGTTGCTGGCCATTGGACAGCCACTCACAGAGGCTTTTGGCAGCTCACGCCGGCTGCCGGCCACTCACAGTAGCTCATGGCAGTCCACTGCAGCCCCACTACAGCCTATGCCATCACTGGTGACTCACGGCAGCCCAGCTCCAGGTTGAGCTGTTGTTCACCATCTTAGCTGTAGAGGGCACAGTGTGACTGGCCCTCATGTGGGATCTGAACTGGCAGCCCTGCTGCTCAGAGCTCACACTCCCAAGCCAACTCTTAACCAATGAGCCACTCGGTTGGCCCTCCTGTGATTTTTGAGCATTCATTAATTTTTGTCATGACACCTCAGACTCATTTTAGAATTTCTCTGATCCAATTCTTATTTCTTTTCCAAGGAGCCCTGATTTCTTTTAGTGAAGGTGTTATTTAGAAAGCAAGATTTGGGTGCTAAGTGTACTCACTGCTACTGGAGTGTTGTTTCTATGCCTCAGTACACAGAACTAGGAAATATATGCATGTGTGTTTGTATACACATACGTAGGTAGGTAGGTAGGTAGGTAGGTAGGTAGGTAGACAGATGATAGATAGATAGATAGATAGATAGATAGATAGATAGATAATGGAAGGAAGGAAGGAAGGAAAGAAGGAAGGAAGGAAGGAAGGAAGGAAGGAAGGAAGGAAGGAAGGAAGGAAGGAAGGAGGGAAGGGCAAGCCTAGCCATGAATACATATGAGTACTTATATTTCCAATCCCAATCCAAAATCATTGGCTTCATACTAATCTCCCCCCAGGGCAGAGCTGTACTCCAATCAAAAACAGTAAGAAAATATACTTCTTTTACCCTTAATGTATATATTTATATGCTAACCTGAAGCACTGCAGAAAACAATCCTACTGACTAGAGTTCAATATTTCTGTACAGTTCTTTTGGTCATTATTCTAAGGTTAAGTTTTCAAAAGATTGTAATCAAAATTACTTGGGCTCGTTGCTCACCACCTTCAATATGGTTGCATTTTTCATTTGAAATGCTTAGCTTCACTTCTTCTGTTTATATTCCATTTTAGAGTTCCCTCATCCTTACTGGCTTTACTTTACTTGGTGGGTTTAGTTTGTGTATATAAACAGTTAGCATCATTACAAAAGTCAAACGACAAAAATTATACTTGGAGAGAAGTCACTTCCTCATCCCCAGTTCTTCCTTTCTACCGATTCCTAGTAGATAACCAGTCTTATTGGTTTCCTGGCTTTTCCTTCCTGTGTTTCTTTTTTGCAAAAATAAACATTCATGTAATTGCTGTCTCTCAACCATTCAAGTCATCCTGTAAACAAGAAGCTGACTACTCTTAGTTCATAGAATATAAATTCTATGGGATAGCCTTGAACCAACAAGTCATCTCATTTCAAAAGTCTAATTTCTGAAGACTGCAATAACAGTTTTGGTAAGCATCCCCCAACAAAGGGTAGGAAGTCAATAAATTGTTGTTGAATAAAAGTCTATTGTTGGGGCAGCATGTTAGCTCAGGTAGTTAGAGCACAGGCTCTTAACCCCACGGTTGCTGGTTTGATCCCCACGTGGGCCAGCGAGCTGCGCCCTCCACAACTATATTGAAAACGACTTGACTTGGAGCTGATGAGTCCTAGAAAGAACACACTGTTCCCCAATAAAGTTTAACAAAATAAAAAATAAAAGTTCATTGTTTTGAATGGCACATGGAAGAAAAGTGAAATGACCAATAAAATGGAACAAACAAGGACCAGAAAAGATACAATAAAGCAGAGGTCAGTAACATCACTAAAGACTATATTCAAACTTTTCTGGGACTTTTTTGTCAAAACAAAGCAAACAACAACAAAAAAAGGATTAGCAGAGATTTTAATACACAAGACATTTCAGGGTGCTAAAAAAGGAGAAGAAAGTAGTTGTTTGGTGAATTTAAGAGGAAAAATGGACCATGCCAAGTGAAGTTGTTGAAAATAATTATTACAGTTATCAAGAAACATTTTCTGATCAGAAAACCAAATTTTTCTTTCAGAAAATGGCTAGTGCATTTCTGAGAACAGATATCAGTCTATGCCTAAAAGAGAAAAAATATTTTCTCAAAGAACATACCATAGGTGGATAAAGATTGTATTTACCACAGGACTTAAAGCTCTTTTTTTAGTTTGTTTTTGCCTTACTGTTAATGAATAGGCTTTGTTAATTCTCTTATGTCAATCCTATTACTTGTTGAGAGCTATTTCTGCAAGGTCATCAGTATCCAGAAATCTTAAATCTGAGCTTAAACCTGTCCAAGTTCAAGAGTTCTTGAGACAGGAGTTCTTATCTACGGAACATAATCAAGGGCACCAGACACAGAGAACCAAACTGTGAGTCTGCAAACTGTAGTTTTCTGGATAATATAAATTTAAAATTTTTACTTTCAGGGAAAGAGTGATGATTTGACTGTTTATATATCATTGTGTGTTCTTTTAAAATAATTCTAAGTAACATGAAGTCATGATTTATCTACTAGAAAGACAATTAAATACTGTGTATCTTTTCCTCTTAAAGTGATCTACACTAGTCATCTTCGCTAATGTAAATTCGGAGTAAAGACGCAATTTTGAGTCTGATATTCTAGAAAGTTAAAATAAAACCATGAATAGAGAATTCATTTTGAAATTTAAAATTCTTCAGCTCTCCTTTTGAGTGAAGGAAGAACTCAGGGAAAGAAGTGATGATTGTTTCCATTTTGTATTTCAAAATTTGACCCCCAAGCTGGGAAAGGGAGTAACTACATTCAGCACTAAAACACTCTCGGATCTCTGAAGACCTCTTAACCAGTTGTGTGTTCTTGGACTTTTTCCTTAACATTATATTTTGTGTTATTTTGTTTTGTTTTCTAATCTTTAAAGTGGGACTAATAATATCTGTTTTGGAAGGTTACTTCAAAAATGTAATGAAACAGAAGTGATGTTTTTAAAAGAATACAGGAAGTTTATTGATATTTGTTAAGTTAGGTGAAGTTTTACCTTCAGTGGGTTTTATTTTTCTGCAATTTTGCATCCATGGAGGTGATTATTATTAGTAATCAACTTTACAGTTTGCATCATGAGAATGAATAAAGGCTTTCTCATTGTTTTACCATGGAATATTTTTATTAACTGTATAATAGCTTTTAACTATAGCATCCATTTTAAATATACATTTTTTTACCATTATGCATGCTACTTAGAATCATCTAACATTAATAGTTAGAAAAAAATTTAGAGATCATGGCAATTTTTGCCTAAATATTATGTTTATGAATTGGATTTGATATTATGTAAGTTGTCAAAATATATATGAACCACTTGTGATAACGTCTAAAATGGAATTCAAACCTTATGTGCAAGAATAAGTGTATTTACAAGATATAGAGATATTAAAAATAAGATATCTGGTCTGAATTCCCTTTAAGGTTCTGACATTTCTATTTCCTCCAGAATAAGTAATAGAATATCTGTATGTAGTAAGAGCAAACCTGGATAAGTTAATGTCTTCTTCTTTTATTAGGAGCACAAATTCAGTTATAATTTGTAAGCTCATATTTTCCCAGACTATTTTTTACTGACGCTACTGGTTGACAAATAAAAGATTGCTATGTATTATACATTCCTGATATACAAATTATTTAAAAAGCTCCCTAGGTCTCCTGCCTGTCCAGTCTCATTTGTTAATAAAGCAAAACTATTTGAGAAGGATAGAAGCTGAGAAAACATTATATTTGCTCTGCAGTGTCTTATATCAAAGCTTCCATCACGGTTCTTCTATCAAAGTTGTTATGAACTTTAGGTACTAGGGAGGGAAAAAGAAATAAATAGAGTAAGGAATGTCTTCAGTAGCATCAAGGTGTGTGTTCTGTGTGCAAAGACAAGAAAACTAACATTTGCTGAGTGCCAACCATTTGCTCAGTACTTATTTGTTTCAGCCATTTTGAGGATAGCATGTCCTATATTCCATTTATGCTTCTGGGATTTATTTTTAAAGAGAACTCCGATTATGATACAAAAATATAAAAGTTGACCTAACCCAAAATTAACAACTAGAATGACTAAAGGTGGCAACAAAAATCCTGAGGGTAATTATTGTTTTGGCAAAGACCTATTCCACTAGACAACTGAAATTCTGAAAAACTATATAAACCACTGTGGCATAAACATTAAAAGGAAAATTATGATTTGTAAAAGTCAATTCATTGGAAAACAAGTATATTGCATTCAGATTAAATTATCACCTACCCTTTTCCACTTATGCACCTTCTACAGAAAATCTTTTTACTCTTATTTTCAAAGAGGCAATTTCATGCACATTTTATTAGCCTGTATGTGTATTTCATGATTTTAAATTCATCTCCCCTTCACATTCTTAAATACTTTGTGGTAAACAGAGCTTACTAGAAGTAAATCAAAATATTATGATAAAGGAAAAGCCATAGTCATAACGAGATAGGAGAATATAAAACAGTTTTGAGATAAATGTACAATATATGTGTGACTATGTATACACACACACATATTTTGGGTAGTGGAGATAATTAGGCATAACACTACATATATATGTATTGATTCTTAAATAAAATTTAGATTTGTTTTCCTATATCTATTTTTAATTGTAAATATTTGGTTTTACTATTTTAAATTTTTAATTATTTACTAATTATCACTTTACTCAATACCTGTTAAATTCCTACTACTAAATACTATACATTTTCTGTAATACATTTCACACCATTTAATCCTCACACAGCCTCATGAAGTACACATGATTACTACTCCAGTTTAACAAATAAGAAAACTAAAGCACAGAGAGTTTTAGCAATTTGCTCAAGGTCAATAATTGGCAGAGCTAGACTTGAACCCCAGTGTTTATGTGTTAATCATTTTGCTATACTTTCACTTGGAAGCACCGTCATGCACGGTTCCAGCCCACAAGAAGTTTAGTTCCTCCTCAGGGGAGAAGACATATATAAATAAATCAATTAAAGAGTAATTCAAGAAATTAACTGATGGTTTATGAGGCATAAAATGCCCTTTATATTACTATTAAACCTAAAACCATATCACTTTTACTACAAATCTCCAGTTTTCAAAGTCATAAATAAAAGTGGGGTGGGCTAGAAAAAGAGGAAATTATGGCTTGGTGAAATCATTAGAGCTACATTTACAATATGAGAGAGAATAGAGGCGTCCACACGCCCAGTAATAACTACCCTGGTCTGACATGATGCTGTCAGACCTAGCTGATATAAAATTTCCATCACATTCTTTTTTAATAAGAAGGAAAAAGCAGAACTGTTTCCTACCAGAGTCCAATATGACATTGGGGAAGATAGTCATGGCTGGGGGTTAAGACATCTGACATTAATATATTAGCCTTGGTGAGAACATTGGTCTGGCTTAGTGGATCAGCTTAGCTCAAAATTCCCTTGGAAAACACAGGAGAGCAGAGACCTAAGGAGATGCATGGTTAGAGGCAGAAAAGGGTAGAACACGAAATGCTAAAGGGTGGGCAGCATATAGTGTGGTACCGCGTTATGGAGCGCACATCAAAATGCAGAATCTAGGTTGCTGTCAAAAGTGAAGGTGGACCAGAATTTCTGTAGATTTTTCCCACCTGGAAGTTTCACTTGGTTTCAGTCACCTAATATTATAATATGTTCCAGGCAAGCCTTAAAGATAGAGCATTTGTTAAATTCCACTGTAGTTGAGTTAAAGAATTATTTAATCAAGCACTTTCAGCACTTGATTCCCAGTCAGTTATTTATATTCCATGGCTAATTATGTTCCAATACAATAATGTCATTTTTAATACAGATGCTTCTCTGAAACAGCTTCTTATTTTGTGTTTCCAAAAGGGAACATACACATTCATGTATAAGAGAGAAGAAGGAATATTTGTTTTAAATTGCACAGTGACAAAAACAAAACAAAACAACAACAACAACAAACAACAAAAAAACTTGTCTTATTTTGAAAATTTTGCATTGGAACTACTTCAATGCTCTGTTTTTTAGCATTTTTTAATGTTCATGGAAAGATGTTATGTATGTCATAGGTAGCAAGGTAATTTTAATATTGGTTGTACTTAGGGAAACCAGTGTAAGAATATATATATATATATGAAAAACATAGAAAAAATACATCATGACTTTTCTGACAACGCAATAGCATATGTAACTTTTATTAAAAAAAAAATGAAGACACATTTATCTGAACCTACTAAATAAGATGAAATACTTATATTGAGCCTTTCCCCCCCCCCCTGGCATTTACGCCTTTTATTTCTCAACAGAAAATAATAGTTATTGAAACTTTTATTTGGACATAAGCCCAGACACTGGCCAAGAAAATAACTGGCATCTGTGTTATCGGACATGCAGGGGCTTCCTGGCCTGTATTTCTGTAGGAACTTCTGTTGCATCTTTCTGTAGGAACTTCTGTTGCGTCTCAGGAATGTGTGTCCAGAAGCAGGAAAGAACTAGTGAAGAATCAAAAAAATGGACTACTTCAGGGGTCGGCAAACTGCAGTTCACGAGCCACATGTGGCTCTTTGGGTACATTCCATCTCAAAAGTTTGCTGACCCCTGGGAGAGCCAATCCTGTCCTTCACAACAGTTTAAAAATTATTCGAGAGCCGTAAATATATTTTTACATAATCACTATTATGTGAATAATATCCTTTAAAAATTTTATAAATGGAACTATGATAGTTTTATTTTCATTTTCAATTTTACTTCAGAGCCACATGTACTTACACAAAGAGCCGCATGTGGCTCTTGAGCCACAGTTTGCTGACCCCTGGCGGCTCTTCTGTCTCAAAAGTTTGCCGACCCCTGGGCTAGTTAATCCTAGGTATGCCTTATTTTCCTAACTTCAATTCTTAGAGGATAGATGGGGGAACTCTGGGAGACTGAAAGACTCCAAAGCTTTAGAAGTTAAGAAAAAGGCAGGCTTTGTAGGCCCAGAGCACAGAAATGGTGGCCAGCCCCTATGTAATTCACTTTATTCTCTGCAAAAGTCAGAGCCAGGTGCTATGGACTGAGATGTGTCCCTTAAAACTCATATGTTGATGACTTAATCCCACATGTGATGGTATTTTAATACGCGTTTTCTCAGTGTTTTTGCAGAGTCCCCCTTTATCCGCGTTTTCACTTTCCATGGTTTCAGCTAACTGCGGTCAACCGCAGTCTGAAACTATTAAATGGAAAATTCCAGAAATACACAATTCCTCAGTTTTAAATTGCGCGCTGTTCCGAGTAGCGTGATGAAACCTCACGCTATCCCATTCTGTTCCACCTGGGACGTGAATCATCCCTTTGTCCAGCGTTTCCACGCTCTACATACAATACCGTATTATGAGAGAGACCATGTATCTCTTATTACAGTATATTGTCATAGTTGTTCTATATTATTATTAGCTGTTGTTAATCTCATACTATGCCTTATTTATAACAAACTTTATCATGGGTATATATGTATAGGGAAAACCTAGTATATATAGAGTTCAGTACTAGTCACAGTTTCGGGCATCCACTGGGGGTCTTGGAACCTATGCCCCGTAGATAAGGGGGGACTGCTGTAGTAATTAACATAGAAGTAATGCATGGTCAAATGAGGTCTTAAGGGTAGGGCCTCCATCTACAGGATTAATGTCCTTACCAGAAGAGACATGAGTGAGCTAACCTCTCTCTCCACCACATAAGGACAGTGGGATGGAGGCCATCTTCAAACCAGGAAGAGAGTCTTCACCAGAAACCAGCCCTGTCAGGCCTTGATCTGGGACTTCTGGCCTCCAGAGCTGTGAGAAAATAAATTTCTGTGGTTTAAGCCTCAAAGTCTGTAGTGTTTTTGCAATAGCAGTGCAAGCAGACAAAGATACCAGGGAACTATGTTTATCTGTGATTATGGACAAGTAAAAAAGTGGCAGAGAGTTTGAAAGACTGAAGTGTTAGTGTTCAAAGATACGCCACGCATTGAGAAGATTTTTATATAAAACTTGGGCTCCATAAAAGTAGGACTAAGACACAAACAGATCATTTTAGAAATTGATCTTAAAGATTGCTGAAGCCATAGAATTGTTACTTCAATTACATTTAAAAATTCAAATGCTACTCTGTGGAATATAGAATTATTTCTTTTAAATGGTTAGTATGAGTTCATGAGTGAAATATTGCACTTTGCTGCACAAATCTCTACACAAAGCTCAGTGCAATCAACTCATTTTGGGGTTTTTATTTTATTTTACAGACTCACTTAGCACTTAGTGTGTGTTGGGATCTAAGCACCTGCCAAATGCTAATTCAATTAATTTTAGGTTATGGATGCAAATTTTGAAGGAGATAAATTGTTTGATGACAAGGGCTATTAATAGAACTGTAGATCAAACATATCAATAACTAATTATATTGGACTGTGTCTCCCTCTATGAGTCTTCAAGCAGTGCAGCAAATATGCCTCTTATTTCAATATTTTTCTTCTAATTTCTGTCTCTGTTTACTGGCTTCCCTAGTAGTAAATAGTAGTAAATTTCACCAATCTTTGTACTCTACTCAAATGGAAAGATTAGGTGAGGATGGACTCTGTGTTTTTCTAAATAGGCAATGCAGCTGACTCTTAGAATTAGTCAGTGCCATGCTGGAAGAGTTTTGTTCTTCATGTAATTCAGAGCCATGGGAAATGCCTGGCACATTCTTAGCATGTGCTAATTCAATCACCGGATCAGGTTTTTCCAAGTAACTGGATTATCTTTACAGTAAAGGGATTCTTTGAAATTGGCGAAACTCTTTTTGAAAAATAAAATTTCTTTTTTCCTCCACTAGATTTCCAACTAGATTGGCAAGAAGCAAGGTATGCTTCCGTCTTCAATTCAACATTTGAAATAAAATTACTTTTAGATTTTTTTAAACCTTATGTATATTTATTGCAAATAGTAGCTACCCCTGATTTAACTATCTACTTTTACAAAATAAAAGTCTCTACTTTCCTGGGGACTAAATAGCTATTGAAGTTATAAAATAAGTTTCCATTACTTTGCTCTGTAGTGTTCTTTTGAAGAAAACTAATAGTATTCATTTTTCTTAGATGCAAAAATTATTTTTAAATAACTGCACTAAATAATTAAGTAGCTTCTTTTGTCCCAAAACATTTTCTTATTTCCATTTTTCCTGATTTCCATTTTCCTTTATTCTTTTTCATTAGTAGATCCATTCAAATTTAATTTAATTGTTCTTTATTATATTTATAGTTACATAAATGTTGAAGAATGGATTGGTATTCCCTTGACAGCCTTCTCTTAAAAGCCTTTTCTTGCTCAAGTAGATAAAATCAAATTGGCAAAGACCCTCACCCTCCAGTGATTCTGGGTAGGAAATGTAGTGAGGGAAATAATGAAATACGAGAGTAGTCCAAATGATGGGAGCAGAAGTGTAAATAAAAAAGCAATCAAGACGTAGAGTTTTGGTTTACCATTCCATGCCTTGGGAAAGCACCAAACAGACCAAGTCCAAGGCTGAAGTGTAAATCAGTAAAAAAGTAAGCTGGGATCAAAGCATAAACTGAATGGAATCATTGAAAGAGACAAAGGCAGAAAGGTAGAGGAAGAAGAAACAGTAAAAAGATAGTATATCCACTAATAGTATATCTTCCCTGATTTGAAAATTTCAAGAAAATCACAATTATATGGACCCCTTAGGGGATGCTTAGGGGATGTGTTAGTATTTATAATAATATAGTTTTCCAGATAATGGAAAGATAACTAAGCAAATAGGTTGGATTTTGGTGTGAGCTAAGAAAAAATAAGCTCTTTTCGAGGGCATCAAGGAGTTTTCCTATAAAAACTCCATGTGCTCTTGGTAGATTTTGTGACATATTTTATAGTTTCTCAAAATTCTATAGGCATAATTCCTGGTTGGTTTCACTTGCTTGGTGAGTAGCATCACCAAAACCAGTCAGGGAATGGAGAGATGTTACGGCATTAGGTTTTGAATCACACATTCCTTAGATTGTTCTTTAATGCCAACTCAAGAACTGGATTTGTCAAACCATATTGAGAAAAATGACTCTGTTATAGAATGTTAAATTTCATAATGGTTTAAGATTTACCTCTAAAATCAAATCTAGATTCAAATCCTTGCTCCACCACTTGCTGTGTGATCTTGAACAAGTAATTTAAATTCCCTGTCCTCAGCTTCTTCAGTTGTAATATGGTGTTAACAATGGTCCCTGCTATGTGTGGCTGTGTAAAAATTAAATGACAATTGACACTTAAAATAACTGGAACAATGCCTGGTACATAGCAAGTGTTCATAGTAAGTATATAATTATTATTAATTAAAAGATTTTTATTTTATAAAATATTGGGATACAATTTAATGAAATTTGGTAATTAACAGTAATAAAAAAAGAAAATCAGTAATAAATAATTTTCACTAAACACATAGGCCTAAACTGAAGGCTTTTTAAGTTAAAAAAAAAAGGACAAATCATGAATTATGTAAAATCCTTAGGTCCAACGATCTTTAATAACAAAAATATTAAATTTATGTCCCTTTACAAGGCAGACAGAAATATACAAAACACTATTATCACTTGGTAATAAGCCGTAACCTACATGGAACGTGGCAGCAGAAGAATATGAATATATATAATATGAATTTTATTAAATAATATATAATGAATATAAAAAATATATATATACATATATATATTTCTCACCTGTCATCATTTCTCCTTTGTTCATTCTATAGATTATATCAAATCTAATCCCTAAAATGGAAGAAGCCAAAAGCCAAAGTTTGGAGGAAGATTTTGAAGGACAGGCCACACATACAGGTAACCAAACTATAAGAAAAAACTAATTATTAAATTAAAATTAAATCTGGAGATCCCTAATGTTCTCATCCCCACTACTCAGTATGAAATTTAAGTATACACTTTGAGTGGTTTGATGGAATCATCTAAAAAATGTTTGATGCCAACAGGTGGCAGGATGGCTCAGCTAAAAATAAATAAATAAATAATAAATAAATTAAAAAAAATGTTTGAGTGGGTAAATTAATGTGAAATAAAATACTTTAAAAACAGCCTTATTTAGATGTCAAAGAATAAGAAATTGAATTAGAAACACTAACTATTGAGAATTCCTTGCTGCCCAATATCGTAAGATATCTCTATCTTCACAAAAATTAAGCCACTACCCTCTCTCCTAATTTCCCCACTATGGACTTTCCCATCAATTGTAAATGATATTAGATGAAAAGGTAAAGAAATAAATTGAGTGGTTAATTTTAATTTTTTGAATCTGAAAAAAATAAAGGGAAAGATAACATTCTTAAATCAGATGGATTTCAATATTCTTACAGAAAACCTAAGACTTACATTTGTCATAGAAAAAAATGTGGAAGCAACAATGTACATGAGTAAGAAACTGTTTAAGTAAATGAATGTCTACACAATGGAACACCATGGCCTCATTTTTTAAAAAAGGAAGAACCTCTTTATTTACATATGTGAAAAAAAAATGTCTGGGATATATTATGAAGTAAAAAAAAAGAAGGTGAGAGAAAGTGCGTATAATATACTACTATTTGTTAAAAAAAAACAGGAGAAAAAAGATTCTCTTTTTATTTTATTTATTTATTTATTTATTATTATTTTTTTAAGATTCTCTTTTTATACACATATAGATATGCTATACATATGCATATTTTGTATATGCACAAACAGATCTGGAAGACAAAGACTACATACACAAGTAAACAAATAGCCTTCATTGCCTGAATATAATTAATATAAATAAGTTTATGTTAAATTTATATATTATATAAACAACACTTATTAGGAAATATGTGGGAGAGAGAATACAACCACATATAAAATACAATATTAAAGGCATAAATATAGTTAAGCTTTAGTGATGAATATTTAAAACTGCATATTTTCAAGAATTTAGACCCTCTTTCCAAGCACTGTTATTATTTATCAGGAACATCAGAATTCCAGTTAGATAACCCTTGATTTAATTATTTTTCTTAAATCTGCAAATCCTATCCTTTCTACATTTGTAAGAGAGCCTTAGAATCTTAGAAGGAATTGGATGGTTATGTAACAATTTTCTTAAAGCTGATTTTTGTGTGTGTATGAATTGAGGTTAGGTCTCCCTCTCACCGGTTGTCTTTTATGTGTTATTGTTATTCTTGTTTTCTGGATCTTGAAAACATTTCAACTTGTTCCCCCAACAAGCCTATTTTCCTTTGTTAATAGTATGTGCCATTTTTAAATTTATTGCTGAAACTTCTTTTTTATGTAAATAAAGTATGATTTTCTAAACTTCCGGTTTCCTCTCTATACCCTATTTTTAAAATTATCTTTACCCCCAAATTTTGCCAATAGTTCCAAGTTCATAATGTGTATTTTCATTAATGCAGATGTTTCAGAAAGAGTCTTAGTCAAAACTCATTTCACAAGATTAATGTGGGGGCACATTTTTATGAGCAGGGCAGTCAGAAATTTCTAGCCCAAATGAGATGTGTTTCTGATAGAGAAGATGACAAGTCTATTTCCATGGCAACACTCATACAAATTTAACTGTATAAATAGTCTTTTTCAAATTAAAAAGGGAAACAATTTGTTTTTAATTTTATTCCAGGACCCAAAGGAGTAATAAATGATTGGAGAAAGTTTAAATTAGAGGGTGAAGAGGGTGATTCGGTCCCATCTAGCAAGAAGGAGATTCTTAGACAAATGTCTTCTCCTCAGAGTGGAGACGACAAACACTCAAAAGAAAGATTCAGCAGAAAGGTAAGATAAGGAAAAATCAATAATAAATGATTTATAACATGTAATAACATGCATCCTCCTTTTCTCTACAACAGCTTTTTTTTAAATCTCATGTATTTACTTCTTCTATAATGTGTATGTCTATGTGTGTAAAGAGGTAACCTTAAAAGGTGGATGTTTACAGTGTTAACAGAGATTATCTCAGAGGATCGGAGTGTTGCCATGACTTCCTTCCTGTAGCTTTGAGGTCGCTTTTGAATCTTTATAATTTGCACGTATTATTTATATAACAACCACAATCAGATTAATAAAAGAAACCATAAAGTGATTTTTCATTGCGGGGAAAAATCACTAGAGTGGATTATTTATCTCCAAACCAGTGTACGCGTATATGAGTTGTTGTATATTCATTCCTAAGAGAAAGACAGTGCTTCAGAAATATACTTGGTTCCAGGCTTCCGGCATTGTAAAAATCTTCAAGCCTAAGATCTTATTTTCAGGTTTTGGTTTCTTCAGTGAGTCATTATGTGAGGTAGACGAGACAATGAAATGTTCCCATCTGAGGAGCTGTAACGCCTCCTTCACTTTCTTTAAAGGGATGTGGAGATCAAATAAATGTGAAAGGGCTTTAAAACATGTAAAATACTAAACAAATGTGAGACATTTGCATTGTTAAAGGTGTTCTACTAAGGTTAAGCTTTAGAAATGTACCTGAATGCCTAAATACTTACTATACCTCTGAATATGTGAATGGAACAAGTTTTCATAAGAATGCTCAAATGTACATATAAATCAATATTTATGTGTCTCAGTCTGTTAAATTAACAGAACTATGGTAGTAACTTGAAAATTATACAAAACATTTAACAATTTTTAGGGTTAAAGCAAATTAAATTGGGACAATAATCTTAAAATAGAAAAAAAAGTGATTTGATAAGAAAACAAATATAAGAGGCAGAAATGAGCAGGAAGCAATGAAAGCCTCAGATACTCTTATTTATATCAAGTGCCTAAGGCATAGATTTTCCATCAATACCAGTTTCATGCTTCCTCGATTCTCCTCCACTCTAAACATTGTTGGAAGTCGCTGTTTGGGAGGCTGCTTGATGATAGGCAGCATAGCTGATCCCCTTTGGGAACTGTCCACCTTCCATGGTTCTGGGCTGTTCCACATCTCTTAACTACACTATGTCCCATCATCGCTTTTCATGTCCTTTCTTTTCTTTTTCTTTCTTTTGTGTGTGTGTGTTGGGGGGAGGGGGTAAGGTGTTTAACATTCGATTGAATAAGTTACTAATAATGTAGCTATTAAGAAAGGCTCTGCAGGTAATTTTATATTACAGCTGCAGTGAAAACTGCCTGTCTTGGAAGATGTAAGTTAGGTCATTTCTCACGTTAGCCTAAATCAGTGGCTAAGAATAGCCTGGAGGGCTTGTTTAAATATGGCTGGCTCAGTCTCACCCTGACAGGTTCTGATTTCGTAGATCTGGGATGGTGCCCCAAAATGTGCATTTCCCAGACCTTATCAGGTGATGCTGATGGTGCTAGTTCAGTATTATTAACCTCTTGGCTAATCTGATAAACTCCAGATAGCAGTAACAGCTGTCATGCTTGCTTGAGTCCCATCCTACATATTCCAAAAAATCAGTAAGTGATAAGGTATCATCTTTTTAACAATTTTTGTGGAGGAGACACTAATATCCAAAGGCATTTGTTGAGGACACATTTAAATGTGTGTGTGTGTGTGTGTGTGTGTGTGTGTGTATTTGTCTTTTTTTGAAAGTCACTCCAGTGTAGAGCTTGCTGGGATTTTTTGTTTTTGGGTTTTTTTTTTCATCCAAAGTGATGGGAAGTTAAGTGACACATTTCTGACTGAACTTGTCACCATCTCATGGCTAAACTATATTCAGCAACATTTATTGCACGCATTTATATTATGAAATAATTACTGAACCCCTATTACATGCCAGACACTATAGCACATATTGAAGAGTAGTGAACGAGACAAATAAAATTCCTTCCCCAATGGAACATAGTTAAGCTAATATTAAACAAATACATATATAGCACAATGTCAGATAGTGATTATTGCTATGAAGGAAAAATAAACCCGTATGAGGAATAGAAAGTGTGGGGTAGGGGCTCTTTTAGGTAAAGCAATCAAAGAAGGTGGCATGTGAACAAAAGCTTGAATGAGGTAAAGGAGAAGGACAGGAGGGGGTGGGGGGGACAGCACATGCACATTCTTTGAGTTGAGGATGGGTTTGGTGTGTCCAAGGAATATACATTTCTGACTGATCTGTCTCATTCTTCCATCTGTTCCCAGATGAGCATTCAAGAATATGAACTAATCCACCAGGAAAAAGAAGACGAAAACTGCCTCCGTAAATACCGTAGACAGTGTATGCAGGACATGCACCAGAAGCTGAGTTTCGGGCCCAGGTATGGGTTTGTGTATGAGCTGGACACTGGGGAGCAATTCCTGGAAACCATCGAAAAGGAGCAGAAAATCACCACAATCATTGTTCACATTTATGAAGACGGCATTAAGGGCTGCGAGGCTCTAAACAGCAGCTTACCATGCCTCGCCAGCGAATACCCTACCGTCAAGTTTTGCAAAATAAAAGCTTCTAATACAGGGGCTGGGGATCGCTTTTCCTCAGATGTGCTCCCCACACTGCTTGTCTACAAAGGTGGGGAACTCATAAGCAATTTTATCAGTGTTGCTGAACAGTTGGCTGAAGAATTTTTTGCTGGGGATGTGGAGTCTTTCCTAAATGAATACGGGTTACTGCCTGAAAGATATATGCCGTAGAGCAGAGCGACATGGAAGAAGATATTGAACAAAGATTCACTGTGTCAATAGCTCATATTTCTCTTTTAAACGTTAAACACTAATTTGGTAGTACCCATATTCCTTTAGGGAATACCAAGTATGGGCATGGCTATTTCCATTTGGGAAAAAAAAAAGATTGACACTAAAGTTATGTGAGTAGCCTTTCTTAGTATCAGTTACTCAAATTGATATAATGCTTTACTACAAAATATGGTAGTCCTCAGCAACATGTTAGTAGGCAAAGAGGATATGGATAATATAGTGACAGTTTTCAAAAATCCCTTTCAAGTTATGTGTTGGCTTTTTTACTCCTTGTTTTTTTCTGCAATGTTATTATTTGGGCTTTTCAAAATACATTATTAATTATAATTTTGCCTATGTAATAAGAATAAAGTCTCATGAGGAAATAAAGTTTCTATTTGAAGTCTATTCTTTCTCAGGGATTACAATATTAAATCTCTAAAAACATTATAAAACCTAAAATACACACACACAAAATTATCATTCAGTAAGATATCTTATATTCCAATCAAACTAATGCACAAGAAACTTAGAAACATTGTACCACATTAAATTTGTTTAAAAAGAAAAAAAGGAGTATTTGTTAAAAATAAAACTTCAGAAGTTATTCTTATCTAGGAAAAAAGGCATATGTAAGCCAGGACTTTTTATTCTTTGGACAAAAGAATAACATTTAATAATAATAATAATAATAATAATAATAATAATAATAATAATAAACAACTATCATTTATTTATTGCTTACTATAAGCCAATATTTTATACATAGCATCTCTAATTCTTAACTACAATTCTGCAAGTAGATAATATTATTCCCATTTTATAAATGATGGAGCTGAAATTCAGAGGAGTGAAGTGGAAGTTCTACTTCTGTTTCCTTTGGAAACACTTGGAAAACTCTGCTCCCACAAAAACACATGAAAATGCAAAATAAATTTTGAAAAACGTTTTGAAATATTTGAATGAGCTGAAGAGCAAGATACATAAAATTTCTAGGTGTGTAAATCAGAGTGGAGAATAATGATGAGTGAGAGTGAAAGTGATATGGTCTGTAACTGAAGACACGGTGCTTGAGAAGTCACTAAAAATGGGCTCCCTGTGAGAAGGGAGCTTCAAACAGGTTGGCACAATGTCCCTGGATGGACCAATGTTAAAAATGGACATTTATCGCAAGCTCCAGTCCCCACTCTCCTAAATAACTATTTTATAACTTCTCTTCTTTCCTTAAACCTTTCATATCCTCTCCTCCCAGTCCAAACACTTCACTTTGCTCATACTTCATTGAGGAAATAGATGTTATCAGACGAGCCCTACCTCCTCTTCCCATCAGCAATCTCAAATGTGCACCTACCTGCACATAAACACTGTTCCTACTGACATCTTTGGGCAGCTCGCTAAGGTCAACTGATCAAATTATACTGTGGATAGTATCTTCTCACACACAGTCATTTCTCTCCTGCACTTATTTTTCCTCTCTCTCTCTGTGTCCTCTATTTCTCCCTTTTTCTACATTGTATTATTCATATTGGCTTACAGATGAGATGCTTAATTGCCCACTATGGAAAATATGCCCACCTATAATTGAAAATTTCTAGCTACCCCTCACTTTTCTGCTTTCCTTTACAATCAGAAATTAAAAAGAGGTATTTAGAGTCGCCATCTTTCATCCTCATTTCCATTTCTTGTTCATCCCACTTCAATCAGGCCTCTGTCCCAAACATTCTCCCTACAGTTGATTGTCTTGTCAAACTCAGTGGCCAATTTTCAGTCCTCATTTTATTGGATCTCTCATCAGCATGTGTCAGAGCTGACCATCTCCCTTCTGTCTGCGTCACTTCTTTTGGCTCCTTTGAAAACACACGCTGTTTGTTTGCCATCTATCCTGCTATGTCTTCTAAGTCTCCTTCACTGACTCCTCTAAACACTCACCCCAGTTAACCCCCTCCTATCCATAGCATGAAATACCATTTCTATTAAGACTGCTCTCAAATTCACATGTCCAGCCTTACCCTCCCTCCTAGGCTCCAAAATCCTATGTCTCAATTGGAGGAAGGGAGGAAGGAGGAAAAGAATGGGAAAGAAAAAAGATCTATAATAGCACTAGATGTTGGTGATGCAAAGGTGGGTAAGATAGAATTCCTAACGATGACCAGCTTACATTACAATGACAGTCCCTAACATAGTCACTGCAATAGGCACTGTTTCTGCTCATGACTCTAAAATTCTATCTGCTATTCCCTTTATAAATTGGGAAAGGCATTTTAAATATCATATGGTCTATTTCTAAGTTGATAAACACCAGGCATATCATAAGGAGGAAACGTGCTAGTGGGTAGATATACAGGGTAATTATGTACAAAATAAGGAGCTTTTAGAAAATAGTTCAACATGTTTTTTTTCTTATCAAGTAATTGCTAACAAATTTATTAACCCCTTACAGAGTTCTCTGTTAGGAAATTACTGGACTTAAAATACCATAGCAAAAAGCAGGATCCTTACATGAGACATTTATAATTGAAAAGCACCTTGGTGGAACAAACAACTCTTTAGATTGACATTAATTCCATGGACTAGAAGTAAATACTTAAAAAGAGGATGGCAAGGCAGTGAGGGAGCCAAACATGTACTTCCAAAGAGAACAATGTTTTCAGAATAAAATATAAGTTTATTTCAATTGCTAGTCATTATTAATTGGAATATAGTACAGCTCTGTGGGGCAGGGGTAGAAAAGTATAGCTAAATATGGACAGAAGCCTCTCGTCTATGGAAAAGAGAATAAAAATGAGTGCTTTGAAAAATTCCTGTCCAGTGAAAGCTTTACTCATATAAGAAATAACCCACCATGCATTTATTCAAAATAGAGAACTAGCAAGCTTAAGCAGGACTAAACCCAGGGATGTATTTAACCCATAATTGCCAAAACAAAAGTAACTAGGTGGCACCTATGGAAGGAGTAAGTGATGATAGCAACCGTTCTCAAAATAAGCACTAGGTGACTAATGGATGCAAGAGCGCAGATGGATGGTAACATTCACCAGGAAGAGTCGGACAAAAGGCAGGATTTGACTAAAATATTTGAAATCCGCTGCTGCAGAAATCCTGGACTACAAACCTCCATCAATTAAACACTTAATCTGCTATTATATAAGGCAGGAAAAGAGGAAGAGATCATTTTTGTATCAGCAAAAGAATGATGCTTTAAATGTAAAGGTTCTAAATGTCATAACATGTCTCATTAATACATTACCCAAATAATACTGGAATAAACTTGAAAGAAAACCCAAGAGTGTTAGTTGTAAAATAATAGGAAAATAATAGGTATATTTGAAGGGAAGAGCAAAACTATCTTGAAAAGTGTGAAGCTCACTCATGTGTTTGTTCACACAATATTTATTGACAAGCTGCAATGTGCCATGTAGTGTTCTTGACCTTAGGGAGCTCCAAGTCAAGAAAACATACATTTAAACATGCAGTAGATGACAAACGCATCTCCATCTGTGTCTATATTAGTAGTGGTGGTTAATAATATCCTGAGCACTGGTGTCAGACTTCTAGGTTTGAATTCATTCACTAATTTTGTTAACCTATCTGTACCTGTTTCCTCATCTATAAAATAAGAATAATAATAGCTCATCCTCACTGGTTGTTATGAGGAGAAAAATGAGTAAATTGTGTAAACTACTTAGAACAGTGCTGTCACATAGTATCATAGTTCTAAATAAAAGGGTGCATAGAATACACAGATATAAAATCTCAAAGACATGACTATGCAAATAGAAGATAATTTATGAAGTAGTTAGGATATAATTCATCTATCCCAAACACAGTATTTATATTTCTCTACTTAGGATCTTATTTTAAAAATCTATATATTTGAACTGAAAGAAAGGGGCCCTAAAAAACAGCCATTTCAAATTGACTGTAGATGCCACAATAAATATAAAACAGTTCTGAAAACAGAAGCGCAGAATAAACATTAACACATAAATGAGAAAAAAATTTATAGAATTTTGAAGTTTTATACTGAATTTGTTGCCGAATACAATTATGATCATATACTAGCCATTCAAATATCTCTAGAAACTATTACTTATGATGAAAATTTGATTTATTTTTCTTTGTTATCTTTCTCAAATATTCTACAAATGTTTGAGTGTCTAATACATACAAGGAATTTGTTAGACAACAGATGGAGGTGATAAAAATGGGTAAGATATAATATTCCTTCTTCTCAATGAAGTAACTTCCCAAGGTTTTATTGTTTCTTAATTGGGAGATCTAGGGGTACACCTCAACTCTCCATAATTATTAGCTATTATTTCATTTATAATTTAAACCTAGAAACTACTTTCAATAATGCTAACTTGAAACCATAGGAATTTTTTTAAACTTTGCTATTCTTGTTTAGATATATTGAGGTCTAGCATCTTAGCTTATTGACATTCAGAATTTTGATCATGAATAAGGACAGGCAGCTGGAGTATCTACAACTAAATTGGATTTGACTAAAATAGAACCTAAGAGCTGATTAAACTACCTTCATCCCTATCATTAAGTTCCCCTTCACAATTCTGTAAACAAAAGGTCTCTTTAACAAACTGAACACATTAAGTGAAAGATCTTTTCCTAAAGATCGTCTTTTTAATTAAGATTTTTTGTACAGGGCTCTTTTGGGATCAGAATTTTAGAAGTTCCACAGTAGAGTGCAAAATCTAGCTTCATTTGGTGGTACTAAGTATGTAAAATAGTTACAAAATAGTTTTGCAAAGATACAAAAAGCAAATAATCCATTTCTGGTTATTGAAGACAGATAATAGTTACTCACCCAAATGTCTACTTTTCCTATGTGGTCTTTGGATACAATACATAATAATTAAAGTGCACTTCAATTGTAGCTATCGAATTTGGATTCATTCAACAAATCTCTGCCCTATTTACAAGTGCTATAACACTCCAACAAAATAATGTTATGTGAAAACACTTTAGGAATGGCAAAAATAGAGAAAACACTTGTCATTTCTAACTGCACTTTTATCTCTCATCCTTAATCAATAAATCAAAACTTATTAAAATATTAATTTACCTTTTAATAGGTTATGAATTGTATGACAACTCATTGACTACCTTTAGTGAAAATTCATTAAAATACTTGATATTCTCAATATAATGATTTATTAAAGTCAGAAACCAAGAACAATTTATTATATTTATTGTACTTTGGCTAATTTACATTTCAACAAATCATTTAGGTAAGAGCCAATGCACATGATGAGCATTGTAACACAGCTTGATTATTCCCGATTATTTTGGTAAAATAATTATGAATCTATTGACCTTTGAGCATTTGGGAGTAGG